CAGCCGGCCAGGACACCACAGCCCCAAGCGTCAGTCCTGGGCCGGGATCAGAGGGGCAGGAGCTGATTATAGGTCCCTGGGCCAAACCCAGGGCTCGCCTGCCAGCCCGCTGGGCCCTGCCACCCCCACCCCCAGAACCACAAGGTTGGAGCATCTGGTCCCCGTCAGCACAGTGGGCAGAGGGAGGGGCCCGAGGGTTGTGTTTGGCTTGCTGAGGACAGAGTTGTCTGTGTGTGGCGTTGGGGGTGGCGAGGACGTTGGGGCTGGGACTCAGGGCAGTGACTGTCCTCCGAACCCAGCATCACCGTGCCCCACTGGCAGCCATTGTACAGATGAGGAAACTGAGGCCAGCCCGGGTCACGAGACCACGAGTCTCCTGTCTCTCCTGTGGCCACTTCTCTCCATCTTTTGAGTCCTGGGGCTGTGCCTCCGGGAAGCGGGCCACATCCTGTTGGTGGCAGAGCGGCCCTTCTGGGAAGTCCTCCTTAGAGTCAGCCTTTCACCCAAGGCTCCGGGGGTGCGGGATGGAGCAGAAGCTCCTCCCCTCTGAGCCCTCGTGTCTGCCTCGTGCCACCTCTAGCCAGAGTTGCTGGGCGGCTCCTGTCCCACTTGGGGCCTTGGTAGCCCCATCCGCACAGTTGGGCAGGGGCTGGGGCCCTGTTTGTGGGCGCCCGGTGTGTGGTGGCGAGTCTATGTCGATGTAGATACACGCGTGTGCCCGGGGGTGAGCCGCCGCCGGTGGGCCTGCCCACGCCCTGGTGGGGTCCCCAGGACCTGCTGCACAGCAACATTTGACCTACTTCTAAGGCTCTGGGTCTGGCCCAGGCCGCGTTCTCGACTCCTCCGGGAAGTGTGGGCCTGAGTCCCAGCCCGGCGGCCAGGGGCCAGGAAGGGCGGTCCGGGGCGGGCCAGGGCGGCCTGCAGAGCCTGCGGCCAGGGGGACGAGGGCACGTGTGGAGCCAGACCCTCCTTCTTTGACTCTGGCTTCTGGGCCCAAGGGACAGCCAGACCTCACCCGTCCCTCCCTTCCCTCACCCCCTCCACGTGGCCACCATATTCTGAGCTCCCCAAATTGGCTCTGACGGGATGAGGGACATTCCTCATGCCCCTCCGAACATTCCCAGGAAGGTCTGCCAAGCGCTCACCCCCGCCGTTCGCCAAGGCTTTGCTCCCCCCACCCCACGGCTGCCCTGCCCTTGTCTGCAGGGCAGCAGGCCGGGCCGTCTGGAAAACCCGCAGCCCCGTCCTGGGTCCTTGGGTCTGGGGTCCGGATTTGGAGTCCTGGGGCCTGGTGTCTGAGTTTAAGGTCTGGGTTTGGCATCCTGAATTTTGGGTCCCCAGAGTGGAGTCTGGTCCTGGGCTCTGGGCTCCAGGTTCTAAAGCTGAGGTTCAGATCCTGAAGCTTGAGTCTGGGGTCTAGGTTTGTGGTTCCAGGTTCCAGGTGTAGCATTGGGGGTCTGGGTAGCCATCCTGGGTTCTGGGGTTTGGGTTCCGTATCCAAAGGCTGGTTCCTATCTCTTCTACGCCCCCTGCTGGCTAGTCATCATGGTTGCATCACTGCCCATCCCACAGGGTCACCCACCGCTTCAGGCTGTTGAGCGGACGCTCAGCCAGTGGATGGGAGTGGCGTGAAGGGCAGGCCTGAGCTGCGGTGGCAGCAGGTGGGCTTAGGGACAGCTATTGGCTGCATTGCTGTCCTGGAGTGCTGCCTGCGGTCACCAGAACTCTTGTCATTTAGTCAGCAAATCTGCGCCCCCATCTCCCCTCACCCCACTCCATGGATGGTGTTTGGCAAGGTGTCCTAGTGCTCCTGTGAGAGGTGGGTAAGTTGAGATGTTTGGGACTTTTGCTCATCCAACATTTATTAAGTGCCTACTATATACCACAGTCTGTTCTAGACTCTGTGGATATATAGCTGTGGCAGAACAAAAATTTCTCCTATGCCAGCTGGCATTCATGGGGTGGGGTTACACAGAAGAAACAGGATAACAAAGAAACAAGCTCATTTTACAGTGTGCAGGGATGGGGAATCAGGGTGAGAGATACGGCACAGGAAGCAGATCTAGGGTAGTCTGAGGAGGCTTCTTGGAGGAGGTAACAACTCGCCGAGCTCAGAGGGTGACGAGGAGCAAGCCAGGGCCAGGGTTTCAGACAAGGGTACCAGGGGGAGGAAACGGTCTGTGCAAAGTCGGGGGAGGCTGGAAAGAACCTGGAAGGAGGCCAGTATGGCCAGGGGTCTCCCGCCTCTACTCACGGGCCTCTCAGAAGTCAGAACCCACACCTTCCCCAGCATTCCCTTGGCTAGGAAGGTAAGGTGGCTTACCCCGGAGAGGGCTCTGGAACGTGGCACCTGTGCGTCTGCATCAGATGGGCCACCACTTTGACACTGGAGCTGGCCGAGCCGAAGGGGTGGGATCTAGGACTCTGCTCCCAGCCTGGGCTCTCCACGACCCCCAGGCCCTGCCCGGATCTTGCCCGCTGGGCTGTCATTCCCAAGGGGTATAGAGCTCAGGCTGGGACCTGGGGCAGAGACGAGAGCCAGGCCTGGGTGTGGCCTGTCTTTGCTGCCCACAGCCCACCCCTCCCTCTCATACCCCCTGTTCACCTACCCGTCTACCTGCCCATCCCCTGCCATGCTCTCGGCCTCAAGAGACAGTCATGCTGGCCATCAAGGAGGCTGGGCCTGGGACTGCTCAGGCGGGCCCTGCAGAGCCCCTGCTGGGGACTAGGCATCAGTTATAGGTGGAGAGTGGTCCTGTGGATGAGCCCTGGGCACTGCTGCTCCCAAGAGCCAGAGCTCACGCAGTCCAAGGCTCAGCCCCAGCCTCCCTCTGAGCCCTGGGGAGGGAGTGGAAGATGGATCTGTGCACGGTGTCCCCTGCCCACTACAGGACCACATCTGCTCTGTGTATGAAGGAAAGTCACCAAGACAGTGCTTTCCCCAGCCCTCTGACAGAGCAAGGCGGCTCAGTGCAGCTCTCTGGCCGGCTGCCCTGGGCCTCAGTCTCCCCATGATGATTGAGAGGGAGTTGGATAGTGTCTCGTTGGCTGTGCCTTTTGGGGGGTCGGAGCCCCTGTGGGATCTCCAGAATCAGTCGTCCGAAGGTCCACAGGCCTGGGCAGCGGGGCCTTCCAGGGGCCTATCTCTGTGTGGCCACTTCCGGCTGTCTTCTCCTCTAGTGGCATTTCTGGCCGTCTCTGTAGACTCCGCCCACACCCCTTTCTTTCTCAATACTGTTGCCAAACATCTGGAAGAAAAGTGAAAAACTTGCCTCCCCCAGCCCCGGATGTTGTCAGATTTCCAGATGTGGGGTGTTCTGCCCTCCAGATGAGGGGAGGAATGTCCTGTGTCCCAGCTAGGAGGGGGCCCGGCCCCACCCCTGGACTGCTGTCCCCTTCACCATGATGCTGAGTGGCAGGATGAGAGAGGCCTGAGTCCAGCAGAAAGACGGCGAGGACACCCAGGCAGAGGCCAAGTGAATCCCCCGCTCAGGCTCCAGCCCCAGCTCCACACTCGAGAAATTCCCAGGGCTCTGGGAGTAGAGGGGGCATTGCCTCTGAAGTTTGTATCAAAGGCTCCAGGCACTTAAAAATAACAAAGAACACCTCCTTCCCACCCTCCGGCAGAGATGCTGAGCAAGGAGCAGGGCCCAATGTGTTTGCAAGATGTCCCCTCTCTCAGAGCTCTGGGCCTGGAAGGGCCTCATGCCATCTCAGCCTTCCCTGCACCCCGCCCCTCCCCCCCGACCGCCTCCCCAAATGATGGCTCAGCGAGGCTGTACTCTGTCACTGACGTCTGCTGAGGGCTGGGCACTCTAGGGTGGGCACTGAGGGTGAAAACTGGGGGTGACCATCCTGAGCCGGGCACCAGGAGCAAACCTCACCCTGCCCCTTGGGGCGCCTCAGAGAGACAGACCCTCCTAGGGCCCCCATCCAAAAGGTTGGCAGAGAGAAGCATGGGGCGCTTGAAGCAGCATCCAAGAGAGCTTCCTGGAAGAGGGGGCAGTGGGGCTGAGACTTGAATGTGCCAAGCAGAGGAGGGGCAAGGGCGCTCAGAATAGAGGGAACAGTGTGTTCAAGGGTCTGGCAGGGAGCAGGCCCCGAGGCGTGTGTGGGAAACGGGGCCTTGGGAGCTGCGGAAGAGGGGATCAGAAGTGCGGGTGAAACCGAGGAGCTGGTCGCAGGGCCGGGCAGGTGCTGGCAGAAGAGGCTGTGGGGGCTGCTGGACTGGGCTGGGGGACTGCCCTCAGGGGAACGGCACCCATGCTTCTGTTACTTGGGGTGTTCTCAGAGACCCTCGGACCCACGACTGGGGCCGCAGCTACCTGTGAGCCATGACACTCACACACAGACCCATAAACACCCAGATACAAACACATAGAGCCAACCCACAGAGACAGACACAGACCACTCCCCACACAGACACAGACACAACAGACACGGGGTCCCCTCACCTAAAGACACCCAGACAACGCACACGGATACACACACCCTCCCACCATAGACATACAGAGCCACCCCCTCCACACGCAAACACACAGACACACAGAGACAACACACACACAGACACATGCAGACACCCCTCCCCCTCTGCACCGACACCTGGGAGTCCGATGCAGATGGGAAGTTTAACTCGAGATGTCTTAGAACATCCCGTTTCTTTTGCTCCCAAGACAACACACAACACTCACTAGGTCCAGCCTCCTGCACCTGTTCAGTGTATTGACCTGCCGAGGGGCAGCGGGACCCCGTCTGCGTGTGTACACTCGTGCATTTGAGGGTGCACTTGTGTGCTAGGCAGAAGCCTCTGTCCTCCCCTCCCCCGCCCTGCTCAACAGGTGATTGGGAGGAACGGACAGCCCTCCCCACCCGTTCTGAGCCTGAACAATGCCCTTCCCAGGCCCCGAAATAGCACCTGAGCCTGGCCAATGTCCTTTTATGGCCCTGTCCCTATTGTGCTGTCTGGGGGTGGGGCTGGGGGCATGAGGTGTTCAGGCAGGATAAAGGCCGGCCGAAGGGGGCTCACCTACCCTGTTCTCTGCTTCCTTCTCTCCTCACCCCTCTCTGTGCTTGCAGCCTTCATGGCCCCCAAAAAGCCAGAGCCCAAGAAGGAAGAGGCAAAGGCAGCAGCCCCCAAGCCGGCTCCAGCTCCTGCTGCCCCTGAGCCTGAGCGCCCCAAGGAGCCAGAGTTTGATCCCTCCAAGGTCAAGGTGAGTGCAGGAGCCCGCGTTTCAGGAAGGGCAGGGCAGGCAGGTGGATCTCAGGGTGGCAGGCCAGGCTCCAGAGAGCGATCAGTGAGCTGAAGTTGGAAGCTTCTGTGCAGAGGTCAGACCAGCCCGGGGGGGCTCCAGGCTTGGGGAGGGAGGGAGGCGGGCACACGGCAGCGGGACGCCCCCAGGGCCGCGGAAGCGGATGTCTTTTTGGTGGTTTCGGAAACTGACTCTCCCTTGCCCTTCTCCCTGGACCTCACATCCTTGAGGACTCCTGCAGCCGCAGGCCCCCAGCCCCGTTTCCAGGCAGGGATCCTCCTCGTCCGGCCGTGGGGTCTCGAGTCCATGCCAAATCCCCCAGGGTGGACAAGGTGGGGTGCTGGGGAAACCCCTGCCCAGGCAGAGTCACCTCGCTCCTGCCAAGGTGCCTTTGCCCCAGGGTGGGGAGGGCCTCAGATTTTAGGTGGGGAAATTGAGGCACGGGCTGGGGAGGTCATGTAGGCAGCTGGTCTCGGAGCTGTGACCGGAGGCCCCAGGAACCTTTCTCAGAGTCTAAACTTGGAGGACGAGCCATGACTCCCACCTGTGGCATCTGCATAGTGACACGCACCCTGCGTCCTGCCCGTTCCTTGTTCTTGGCTGGACCCCAGCTGCTGTGACACCAGCTGCTGACTAAGGGGAAACCCTCCCCGCAAGCCCAGCAGGACCTGCAGCCACCTGCACAGATCCAGCTCCTCTTTGAGGTCCTTCCTGGAGGTTCCTAATTGTCCCCGGGACGTGAGTTTGAATCTCTTCCCTGCTCTGAGGCTTGGTGCCCTCGGCTGTGGAATGGAGCCGTAGCCCCCCTCACAGGCCACTGGGAACCATTCACCTAAAAGCTGAGGCCCTGGGCTTGGCTCCCTGACCCCCGAAGATCCCAGGACCCTGGCTTGCATTCCATAGGCCCCCGGGTGAGGGTCCAACCACCCTGGGCTCATGGTGGCATTGTCCAGTCTCACCAGACCTGAGGTTGGCACATGCTCCCCTCCAAGAGGAGAGAACAGTGAGGCCCCTCATGTGTCCCCCCGCCCCTTCCCCATGGGTGGCAGGTGACGGGCAGGGGGCTTTGCCAAGAGCCTAGGGGACCTGATGTCGGCAGGCTTCCTGGTGGAGGCAGACAGCTCTCAGGGGCCGGGAGGACCATCGGGTGGGGCACCCTCTCACTGGTTTGTACTGTGGAGGTTAGCAAGGCCCCAAGGGAGCAGCAGCGGCAGAGGTGCCAGTCCTGTCCCCCTCCCCCAAGCTCCTTTCCCTCCTGCGACCTTGACCTTGGGGCAAGTGACTGCAGTGATAAAAATAGACCTGGTATCGGGTGAGGAGGGGGAAACCAGGAGGCCTTCTGACCTCAGGTGGCCCCGATGTGACCTCAGCAAACACTCAGCAGCACCACCATGGCTCCCCGCTGTGCTGCAGGAGGGGGTGCTGCCTTGGGGTCACGAGTTGGAGTGTGCAAGACCCAGGTGTAGGCAGGGCCACGTGAGTGACAGCGCCCAGCCTTGAGGGCTCTGTGAGGGACAGGCAAACACATGCACATACTCACGTGCATGAAGACACATGCATGCACACACGCATATCACACATACACACACACACACATACACACACGCCCTGCTGAAACGAGGCCTACCCTCTCATTCATGTGGACAGCCCTGCCCACTGGGCCCCAGGCCTGGTGGAATGGCAAAGCCAGTCTGGTCAGATTTTGGGGCCTCAGGTACACCTGTCCAGGGCCAGGGGCATCAGGTAAGGCCCACCCTGCGCTGGAGACTGAGGGCCCCTGGCCTCCCTCCTCATCCCTTCCCCAGATGTGGCCCGCCAGGCGTCAGGGGCTGGGTCCCCAAAGACCCAAGGCTCTCAGGTCGACAGGTCGGGAAGAGTAAAGAGGCAGGAGGGTGTCAATGTTGGCGGCAGGGGGGCGGAAGCTGGACCACAGTGTGGAGTCAGGTTGGGACGGCGAGGGGACGAGGCCTGGCCCGCCCTCTGAGCCAGGCGCTGAGAATCTCTGCGGTTTCCTTTCAGATCGAGTTTACTCCGGATCAGATTGCAGGTGAGTGGGCGTCTTGAGCGCAGGGGATGCAGGGTTGGGCCTGGGGTCCCTAGTCTGAGTGCCCTGCTGCCCGTGTGGGCGAGCGGGGAGCCCACAGCTCACGCCCTCTCCCCGCAGAGTTCAAGGAAGCCTTCATGCTGTACGACCGCACGCCCAAGTGTGAGATGAAGATCACGTACGGGCAGTGTGGGGACGTCCTGCGGGCGCTGGGCCAGAACCCCACGCAGGCCGAGGTGCTCCGCGTCCTGGGGAAGCCAAAGCAGGAAGGTTGGTACACCCGGCCTGCGTTCTCTCCATCGGTGCCCGTCCCCGGGGACACCGGGGTGGGGGGGTGGGGGTGGGGCTTCCATCTGTGGTGGGACAACCGGGGATGTCCCTGCTGTGTGCTGCCCTCACAGCCTCCATGTCTGGGCGGGGGGACACTGGGAAGGGTCTCAGGTGCTACCCACAAGGTGAGGAGCGGTGATAGTTCCGCTGT